TTCGGGATTTTTTGGCTTGATATTTGGCTGTCGGGCTGGCAAAATGGTTCCATAGATTAGTGGGGCAAGGTGTCGCCTAACTACTAGCGCAACATGCTGTTGTCCTCTCCTTGAATACTTCGACTGGTTTGAATTCAAAGCTGCGAACTGAACCCGGCTGCATTCAGCACTCAGCACAACATCATGCAAATCATCATTCGCCTTGCGCGTGTACGTGACAGCGACAATTACCTGGCAACACGGGTAGCAGGAGCCAAGAGCTGCAGCTTGTCCGCCGCCCATCAGACTGTTCATGCTTGGTCACTTTTTCTCATCTCCTGCTACGGTCAGTTTGCTTTGCCTCTTTCCAGCCCAGCCTTCTTGCAATGCATGCGACATTTTACAGGCTTGTGGCTTGCAATGGCCTGAGGTGGAACCGTCGACAGCGCCCGCGCAATGCGGCAAGCCAGGAAGTGCGTCTTGCCACTTCCCGGGCCCGCGAGGACGAGGAGTGGATGGTCCAGCCTTGATTCAAGCTCACAACGCGGCCAGTCCAGGTGCCGTTGGTGGGGAAGCTCAGAACTCCTGACTGGGGCTTCAAGCAAAGTAAGCAAAGCGTGCTGCTCGAGACTAAAGATCCGGGAGTTTTAGGTGAGCATCCAAAAAAGAGCGGGAGTGTTCCAGGTCAAAGTTGACACTCGCTCTATGCATTCCGTTTGCAACACGCAGCATTAAGAATCTTTTATGTTTTCAGCCCATATACGATTCGGGGTGAACATCATTATGTGAAACTGCCTCATTCATGATGATCTACACACACACAATACCACGATATCACATACTCATCTCACATGTATGGAAGTTCACAACCATGAATATAGATAATGGGAGTGCAGCTCATGAAATTCTTATGAATGTAACAAATTCACAATGGGAGTGCATTTCTACTGAGAAAACAACAATAAGCATGCTGTCAATGTAAGAAACGAGACTGCTCTTACATAAGGAAAAAACTCTGGAAGTGAAATTCTCACTTACTTGTCAAACCCAAGTGCTGTTGACAGGGTGTTGCACGGGTGTGTCTTGCACAGGCTCAGGGGAAGGCCATGGCCAATGTGCAAAGCACTGTATGTTATGTGTACAAGCATGTTGGAGTGCCCTAAGCACTGCGCGACAACGAATAGAACAACCGCAGCTAGCAGTGCACTGTGGGCAGAGTCCGGGACGGTGCATCAACTGCAGCCTGCTGCTCCGGCGACATGTCTGGCAACGCAAGCAACCTCTCGAAAGAGCCGCCACACAATCCGCAAAGCATTTGCTCCGAACTGAGAGCCTGGCTGACTCTGCGGAGCGTTCTTGCGTGGCCTTACCTGCACCACAGCTGGCACCTGCCCTGTGCATGGGTCCACCCGTGGTCGGCCCTGAAAACTCTGGAGCTGGTTTTCAGGTGGAACTGCTGACGGTGCTGGCGGCGCTGGGATGGTCTGGCCGGCTTGCGTGCAGAAAGCTGGGAATCTGTTTTGAGCTGACACCTGCTGTGCGGGCGCCGGAGCCAAAGGTGTGCGTGATGCCCCCGCACCACAGCTTCCAGGCTCGGGAGTCCAGCAGTGGGCAAACGGTGCCTCGTTTCCTGGTTTGTTTGAGGCTAGACTAGGTTGTACATGAGCGCCTGTGGGCTCTGTGCTCTGTTGTTTCTGTCCGTGCGGCAGTCTGGCCATCGGCCAGCACACCCCTTGCGAGGGTCCTTGCGTTTGTCGGGAGCTCCAAGCCTGCAACAAGGGCCAGCTGTTCTGGTTCACTTCATCTAAGACATGTAGCGCTTCTCGACTTGAATTATCCACAGCACCCAAGGCAAGGTTCGCCTCCAGCCAGAAAGCAAGAGAAAAACTCAGCTGACAAGGGTCTACGCAACGTTGTCACAGTCTATCAACAAATAGAAAACAAGAACTCCTCAGCACTGGGTGGCCGTGCTGCCGAAGATTTGCATGTGCAGGCCTGCGGTGTGGCCACTGGACGAGCCGGCTCTTCCGTGCGCTTCCACGTGCCTGACATGCCTGGCGTACTTGCTTCGCTCGTTGCGAGCTTTTCCGCTGTCATGTCTGTGCAGGTTGTCTCCGTGCAGGAGCTGGCGTCTATGTCGCAGTGCAGCTATGCGGTCAGCATGTGACATCACTCGCTCGCTGTCCTTCGTGGCTTGGAGGACGTGCCATGCTGCTTGCTGGGGAACCCTCAGCTCGTAACTGCAAGGTGCTTGACATTCAGCTGGCAGGAAAATACTTAGTGGTAAGGATGATGCTGCCATGGGTGTCACCTCACTCAGCGAGCTCAAACAAAACCAACCAAGTTCAGCATGACTTTGCTTTGGTAACGGTGGCCTTGTGTTTCCTGGTCATGCAACCCTTCCCTACTAGCAAACAGCGAAACTCTGAACAAGACTCTTGAACATGCTTGGAGGCTCACCAGTTAGAGGGACTGGTTGGGTAAAGACTGGTCAAAACCTAACACCAAAGCTTAAGCATGCGATGACTCTGATGTCGGAACAGAATAAGGATTGTCTGGGACTCATTGGGCCCTGGAGCAAAGCCAGAAGGGCAAAGAGTTTGTTCTTAAGAGTCTCGGCTGCCGACGCCCTGACGGTGGCTGGCGCTGAAGATCAGGCGCTGCGGAGCTGGATGATTAAGGACATCAGGTCCTGGCACAGGCTTAGGCGGTCAGGGCAGGGGACTCCCCGCTTCAACAAAAGAAAACCAACAGCGGAGCCGCAGTCTCTGTGACGGCGTGGTGCACTTCTTATGAGCTTACTCACTGATGCAAATCAGTGGCAAAGCTAAATCATCTTGCCTTCCACATTCAGGCCCCGAGCAGCAAGGTACGCATCGACTGCGGCAAAGGGCGACTCGCCTAAAGACAAGAACAACTGCCTACCGTTCATTTCTACAGAACTTCGAAGCCCACGTCTATCCGTTCTCAGGCAACTTGCCGAATATTGACTTACGGCTTCCTGCGTGGGATCTTGCCTACTGCTCGTCTCTTCCTACAGAACGACCAAGCTCACATCAATCCGTTCTCCGGCAACTTGCCTAAAGTTGACTTACACCCTTCCTGTGTGGCATCTTCCCGACCCAAAAAAAATGCTCGACTGCAACTGCCTGGGCGGTTGATTGCAGACTGACTTGTCATTGTCTGGGGTCCCGACGCTGCAGGCGAGGCCTCATGGTCCCTCCCACGCGTGTCAGAACCAGAAGAAACTTTATCTGCGGATAGGTGCTGGCAATTCTGCCCAACTTCAGCGAGTCTCAGACGTTGGACACAGCTAAGTGTGAGGCACTGATTCTGCCTTGCTGCTCCTTTTCACATTTTGTCCGCAAGCATGCTATCTCTGAATTCAGTCTAGGTCGATGCTTCTCTGAGCACGTGTCCCATGATGTCTCCTTAGCATATGGACTAATCTCAGATAGGTGCATTTTGCATCACATGTTCATCTCCAGATATCTGCACCGCAGGACAAACATCTCCCAGCTTTGCCGAGTCCCGAAGAAAGGTCAGCTAAGCTGACATGGAGATGACAAAAATCGTGCATGCGCGCAGCATTCGCCAGAATGTCTCTTGTGAGGCGTCAGGGGATCAGCGCATTCTAGAAACCGGCCACGCCTTGGTTGCAGCTCAACGGTTGCCTGTTGTGCTACACTTGAATCACCTAAGACTTCTTGAGTTCGCGGCCGGACATCATAAAGTGAAGGAAGGGAGTGCACATGATGCGGAAAATTCCGTGGCTCCATCCTCCGCACGATGACACAACGTGAGCTTGCAGCTCAAGACTGAAGAAGCGACTCCGCTCGTATGAGATGGAAGTCCTGGTTTTAGTGCCCCAAAGTACTTCTGAACAGTAACAGATGAGGCTTAGTCCGCATACTGCGAAAGCGACCCACAAACGCAAGACTGCTTGCCCTTCCATCCTCCTCCCCGGTTCAAGTAGTTGGCTATCAAGAAGAAGCAGCAGGCGCCCAACCAGGACCTTCTCATGCTTCGTCAATGTCCAGGCTTTGGGGACGTCGCGACTTAAGTACTTCCAAAACTTGAAGCGCAAACATGAGCCATGCTGTCCGGATGTCAGAAACCATGTCGTGAGGGCATATTCGCTGAACTCTTGCCAGATCCCTCCCCTGCCCCTGGCTGAGCCGCTTGCGAGACGACGCCTACATAATGAAAGTAATCGCCGCGCACCAGGAGGGCCAGCGTGTACAGGAGAACCTCGGGTTCTGCATGAGCATCTGTGGCTAGCTCAGACAAGTCTGGGCTAAACTTCTTGCAGGAGAAGGTGTCTCTTCAGCTCAGCATTTTGCGATGCAAGCTGAGGCTAACAAAAATGCAGGAAGCAAATCATCCTACAGTTGTAGTCACTGTACTAGAACCCATCCCTGAATCCTCCACGAGAAGCTTTAGCCCCCGATTCACGAGCCACTCAACTCTTGCCCGTTTGGTTGGACCAGCTGCAGGCCCGGGTACTCGCCAGTTAGAGAACATTCTGCCCTGTCTTCACGTAAAGCTAAACTCCTTACCACTCTCATCTGCAGGACTTTACGGCCGAAATCCCCAAGCAACATCGTCGCTTCCACTTCCTTTTCCATTGCCTCACGAGCTATAGTTGAAACTCCAAGTACTAAGCCCTATAATATAATAGGAACCCTATATAAGGCAATTTCCGTTAAAAAAAAGGGGGATCCCAATATAGACCCCAAACACTATCATCCTATCATGGAACCCCGAAGCATGGTATGCCTAATTTTGGGAAACCCCCACATACTCCCCTGCATAACAGATTCAACCACAACATACAAAACTACACCATAATATACTACAATAGGAACCCCATATAATCCCCTATATAAACAGATTCCATTCCTCCGACTACTATATAATATCATACTATAATACTAAAATATACTATAACATCCATAATATATCATAACAGACTCAATTTCCCTGATGCCCAAGGTCTGGGCCAGGCAGGACACGCGGATGTTCTCGTGAATTCCACCAGGTCTGGCTCGGACTATGGTCTTAACTTCCTCAAGGGGTTATAATAGTATATCATGGTATGTTATCATGGTATCTTATAGTAGATTATGGTATGTCGTAGTATGTTGTGGTATATTATTTAGGCAAAAATAAAGATCTTGTTAAGGGGGGATACGAAGATTTTAGACAGTGGCTCGTATGAATCTGCCCTGACACAGGGGTAGGTACACTATATGGCTGGTTCACAGGGAACTCTGCGGCTTATCTTGAGAAAGTCCCAAATAATGTGTATGCCATGCGTCAGGTTCGTGAACGTAGAGGGCGCAGCCCACAAATCACGCTCGAATTTACTTTATCTGAATTGATCTGAAGCAGCGCGCGCCTTCCGTACATAAGGCGGCGGAAAAGGAGGAAAACACCTTTGCAAGTTTCTGGGAAAGCTCCTCTGTACACCTACATCTTTGCATATCTTTGCTATGAGGTCACCGTAACTCACGAGTGGGCTATCACTCAAATCCTCTCGCGCATTCCTGAAGTCATTGCCGGTGGGATTCTGAGGGATTCGCACAGGATATTCAGAATCGCCAGGAACAAGGTGAAGAGCACGTTGCCATGGCTAAGCGCCCAGGCGTAGACGATGCAGGCTGCCAGGGCACACCCATCTTCAAAAGCAGAAACTTGACGAAACCTAGAAGGTTCTGGAATTCCTTTCAAATCCACGCTTGAAAGAAGCGAACTGTTGCAGGAAAGTGGCCGACGTGGATCGCAGACAGGTCCATTGTGCGAAACGGCGTGCACATAGGATCGTAGCCGGTGTGCCTCACAAAAGCAATACGCGTGGGCTGCATCTTGCCCGAAGATCGCTCTTCCGGCCGTTTTAGAATGAACTTGCTGGCCGAAGAATGAGATTGAAGGTTTGCTGCAGGAGCCGCACGAACAACTAGAGACGCATGCGTAAGCGCGTGGTTTGATCATGCAAATAAAATGTCCGGGTCGATCGGGATATGCTGGAAAAATGCTTGTTGAGTAGATAATGTTCTTAGCAGCTTTGTGTGGACACAGGCTAGGAAGATACGCCTGACCTACCGCCCCGCCAATGAGTTTGTTTTTCTATGTTTAATTTGCAAAGATGTCCAGAGGATTTGACGTCCTTGGATCAACCCTAAACCCTAAACCCTACACGCATGCTAAGCCGCTAAGCTTGCTTTGGCCCGGGCACTTGTCAAGCACTGCCGAGGCCAGGTGATAGGCTACGCTGAAGGGGCAATGCAGCATGGCGCCAATTGCAAGCGCCCACACGCCTTTCAAGGAAAAGCATGTTCTTGTGGCTAAGTGGGCCCAAGCCCGGCAAAAGCAATGCTTTTGAATGACGTCCAGCCCTCTGGCCGGCTTATGCATCTGCGCCTTCCGGGAAAATCGCGTTGGAGGCGAGCTCAGGCGCTGCATGGTAAGCATAAATCGATGGCACCATCATGGATAAAGCGCTAAAGACCTGAACGTCAGCTAGCAAGAGAATGAAAGGAATCCGACCATCCTGTATCACCCAGCCTCCGGCCAAAACTCGGATCCAATTTCAAACTCCAGCTCGAGAAACTGCAGGAAGGACCCCCGGAAGAGTGATCGACGCGCCTGGGAGATTTACTACTTTCAACCATCATGGTAGTCAGGCTGGACGTTCCCAGGCCGTGCCGCACATGTTAGGCAAGCCATGCTGACAACGACCCCAAGACACCTTTAGACTTGGTCCAGTAGTGTCTTTTTGCAGGGGGAACCCCCCCATATAGACCCACAATTACTATGATTGTGGGAACCTCCCAAAAAAGGGGACCTCTAACTTGACCCTAACTTTGGGAAACCCACCCTCGCCTTCAGAGATGGCGAGGTATCATCGCTGCGCGGGGAATCGGAGCACGGGCCTGGCAGTTTAGCTACACTTGCCGCTGGATAGCATTCAGGTTTAGGGCTTAGTTAGGGTTTAGGGCTTGATTGTTGTAATATAAGGGTATATTTTGAGTAAGAGAGGATCCAAGAGGAAAAGCAAATCACAAATGAAATGGAAACTGGATTACATTTGGGCTCATAAGAATGATTGAATGGAGATAAGAATTTGGAACAAAGTGTAATTGGCGAGTACATTGCGTCAGGGAACACATTTCAGCAATGATACTACCACTTGAATAATGAGAATCGTGGCAAAATTATGATTTGCGAATGGGTGGCCAACTCCATTCGCCTCAGTCTTCGTCTCCACTCATACTCCCCTCCCATGCCTCTGCCCTCTGCTAACACTGCCAACCTCTTCCGCTGACCCCTGCTGCCCCAGCCACGCAAGAACAAGACCTGGCCTCCAGACACTTCTTTTGCCCGGTGGGCTGCAAAATCAAGAGCAAGGCAAGGCCAGTCTGCGAGGGCATAAATGCGCGGGAAGTCGTAGTGGAAGCGAGGGCTCTCTTTCATGCAGTTGGTCACTTCTCCTTTAGCGGCGGCCAAAATGGATGTGATGGCCCCGTGCGTGCTGCCCCTGCCCCGCCCCATCCCTTTGTGACAACAATTGTACGCTCAAAACATGCATGAGTCTTGGAGTTCTCCTCCTTTGTGCGCGGGCTTTTGGGAGTGCCACTGCCATTACCACGGCCTCCACCTCTGCCTTTTGCGCTGGACGATGAAGCTGCGGCGGCGGCTGCTTCCTGTTCCTTCCTCCTTTCCTCCTTTTGCTTTTCCTTCTTTTCTTTTTCTGCCTTCTCCTTCTTCTCCTGTTCCTTTTCTGTTTTGGTCTTGTTGCTCGGTTCGGACTTCGGAGACGGGTTTGCTGGAACGGATTCAGGCTTCAATGCTTTATCCATGGCATCCGCATTTTCTTCCAACTGGGAAATCCCGATGACCTCACACATCTTGCTTTAGAGCCAACGCCACGTGTTCTTGCCTGGGGTGAGGGACCCCTCCCGCCCTGTTGGGTGGAGTTTACAAGGATCTTATGAAATCTTTTTATGGGTCGTCGGGGGGTTTTCGAAGGAAATGCGCACGGAACGGTATGGGGATGGCATGAAGTACTGTTACGGACTTGCTAAGCTGATTTGCAGATGTCTACATAAAAAGCGGTTATTCCAAGGCGATGTTGTCTTGGGGTTGTGGCAAGTTCTAGAAGAAAACACAAACCCTTATTCATGAGCAATTGGAGACATGCAAGTGCCAAGTCAATCACGCTCACCAGAATCCTAGGATTGTTGGTATTTTTGGGATCCTGAAAACTTGTAAGCAAAGTCAGATGCTAAAACTGATGACAGCCATGAAGACTGCGCCACCCAGCCCCCTATTCCCCAACACTTTGACCCTTTTGAGATTCAGGTCTGAAAGCACGTGCAGCCATGTAAATTTCGCCCTCAACTGGCCCCTCCCGCCCAGGAACGATACCATAAAGCCAGGAAAATCATGTGCTGGATGAGAGCGAAAGTCCCAGACAAAGCTCTAGCTTAGCAGAAAATAGCAAACGTGGCAGTCCTTCTAAATTGGTGACACGCCTTCCGTTCTGTCAGCCTCCCCTCTCGTGTGCCCGCTTCAGCCTGCCTGCAGCCTTCGTGTGCCGCTTGGCTCTATTTTCCACGCACATGGCTGCACTGCAAGCGCTTGCTGGCAGCTTGAGCCACAATATGGCTAGAATCCTCAAGGGGTTCACGCAGCCTGTGTGCCAGCTTGAAAAAAATCCGCAGACGCTGGTGCAAGGCCACAGGTGGGGCACTTCTTCTTTTTCCTGCTCGGCATGACGCCAAACAAGCACTGTGCAATCCTCGGCTGTCTGCCAGCCGCAGCACTTGCAGCAAACCTTCGGCAGCTAAAATTCATGATGCTCATGCTGGCGATGGCCCATGCTCAACTTCCCTACTCAGCGACTCGAGTTCGAACGTCTAGTCCGGGGCATAACGAGAACGTTTGATGGATCTGCTTTCATCTGGTTGGCGGTCTCCTTATCTGCCCCCTACATCGCTGACCGCCCCTGGATGTGACGAGCAGATTCCAAAATCCAGAAATCCAGATCTGTTGATTCGAGCGACTGCTGGCCCAGCCTTCTCGACTCGATAGTTGAAGGTCTCCAGACTCGTGCTTTTCACCTCCTGAAGTGCTGAAGCAAAATGAAGCAAGTGTTGCAGGGGCAAGTCTGGACCTGTCCTAGAGTGCATGTTTTAAAGACATCCAGAAAACTCAAGCATGGGGCCAGTGCCATGCCACTCTGTGTCGCGTGCCCCGCATCGCTTGGCCAGAAGGCTGTTGGAAGGGCGGTCAGAAGCGCCGTAAATGAAAGTCTAGCAGAGCAAGTCGGTCAGGACTTCTGGCGAACAACTAGTGGACACATGCAAAACAGGCCGGTGTGGCCCATCCCAGCATCACCGCGAACGCTACTGCCTTGTGGCGAGGTTAGCCCAGTTCTAGCGCCATAATATCGCCTACCTTTTTTCGACCACCTGAAAAACTCAATCTCCACGTCCACACTGGAAGCCCTGAGGCCTCGAACAGAGAGTCCACTGCATCATCGGCCCACAGTAAATCCTTGCATTTTTGCTGCAGAACAGTATAGAAACTGGGACAATGTTGTAGGTTTGTTTCCCATGGAGCAACCTCCTCGGTCTCAGTGCATCTTTTCAGGCGTGCTATGTTGCGCGGTAACCACTCACAGGTTGGCCGTTGCGTCACTTTATCCCCACGTGTCAGGCACAGAGAACTGCCGGCTGGGGCGCAGACAGCCCCCAGGATGAGTCCTGGTGCTTGTGGAGATAGGCACCTTCTGCATTGGACTGACTGGATATGAAAAGCTTCGTCACATGAGGTGATGGCTACAACTCATAATTAGAAAAGGTCCAGCTTGGGCCCAGACGAAATTGCCGCTTCTATACCATCATCCTAGCAGACAAGATCCTACTGCACAAGAGGTAGCAAAGGCAAACCCCAAACAGAAAAGTCTTCAGGCAAACCAAACTGACATATCTGAAGAAGCGTGGCAGCCAGGCCCAGTCCAAGACGTCCGCAAACAGGTTGAGACCTCGAGATGCTTTGCAAAATGCTGCGAACATTTGCGATCCATTGGGTCATCGCTCCCCGCCAAGGTCACGACCCCTTCCCAATTGAGCACTGGCCTCGGTGGATTCATGCTCCCTTGGATCTGTGTGGCGTCGCAGTTTGAGGGGTGAGTCAGGGTCCAAGATGAGGTGCCCCGTTTTTTGGGACGTGCGTTCAAACAGCTAGGTTTGCCTAGCCGTGCACAGGTACTAGTGCTACCTGTGGTGATGCCATTAAGTCCGGAAGTGGGGGGGGCTGTGTACTTAACTGCCCCTTCTTCTTTCCAGCTTGTAGTCTTTTGTGCTTAAGACTTCGATCTGGCGCAATTCACATATTCCATGCGCGCAGTTTTCCCAGGACTGGCTGATGCAATGGCCTGGATGCTCTTGGACAGGGCTTCGCAAACATCGCCCTGAAAACAAGACAAGCAAGGCTGACAGGCTCCACTCCGTCAGCCAGCCTCCAGGTCTGTGACCATTCCAGCACAACCAAGAGCAGCAGCAGTTGCAAGGCCAAGTAGACCTCTACCAGCCTCATTGTTTCAACCATGCCGCAAGCACGTACCCGCAATGCTGCTGAGACTGCGAACTGCCTGCCTGGCCTCTGCCCACTCAGTTTTTGATTGTGCGGAACTTTTGTGTTTGCACGTCTCATAGCCCTTGGCACGCGGCGCCAATCTCCAACACGGGACCTGCAGAGACGCTGCAACTATAGACTACCCGGTTTAGCTCCACGGAACGGGGAGTAACAAGATTTAAGGCGATTTCGTGCGTCAAGGAACATCTGAGTCTGGTCGAGCCATGCCTTGGAGTTGCGCGTCCAGCACAAAGCCTGGGGAAGAATCCCACTGAAAAGGTTTCCGGATGTTTCCAGGCTCCCGGCTCAAGGCCGCCATGCAGGAGCCGGACACGATGCCTCCTAGGACGGGCACAGGCCTCACAAGGAATGTTTGAGGAAAGTCTGGAGTCTGGGTCCGGTCAGGGCTTGAACCTCAAGCAAATGCATGAAGCCTGCCTTCTTGGCGCCACCAGACTCAATGGCATCAAGCCGGCAACCTGCAATGAGCGCAGTGCTCCAAGGGAAGTGCCGCACTGCTGAGGCGCTTCAACACTGGACTTAGTGGTTACGAGGCTGACGTATTGAAGCACCTTGCTAGCAGGAGTCAACAAAGTCGTCAAAAGTCCTCGCAACCGCAAACGTCGATCATGTTTGATCGACGCCTTGAGGAGTCAACAAAAGCCAGGAGCACCATGACCCAAAGTCCTCGGAGGCAAGGCTTTGGCTTTCGATTTGTCCAAAAGCTCTGAATCTGCTTGAGCTGATGCCTTCTGCGCCCTCTTCAGTGGCAATCTCTTCAGTGGCAATCTTCAGCACTGACCCATCACGCCCAGCCTTGGCATCTTGGCATAGGTCAATATCGGCATCTACATAAGCATCTACATCTTGCCGAAGCCTGCTCATGTGATGAACAGGTCACAACCTTGAAGCAGTTGCTAGCAACCTCCTCTTGGACGCCTAGGTGGCCAGTCGAACTGAGGCAATAAACGCAGTAGCTTCTCTTCATGTTGAATCCCAGTTGGTGCCGGGGGTGCAACAAAGTAAAACATCCAGAAATTTGTGAATGCCAAAATACTATTCACTTTAAGGAAGGCCTTTAGATATGAAGGCCGGGCTTGTTACCTTTGGAACTGGAATCTAGCCACCAAAAACCATTGATTTCTTGTCAAACCATTTGCGCGATCAAGCCGCGCAATCAAATTCCAGCAAGCGACCTGAATCTCAAAACACAACAGATTTGGGGGGGCCCTCAATACTATCTTCAGAGAGGAGCCAAGCCAGACCCCCCATTCACTTTGAGGACTTCTCATTTTAAAGGACCCCCTTTTTGATTGGGGGCCCGTACCCCAATTGGGATCCAACACACTAATGTGCTAGCTTGTCCCCAGAGCAGTCCCTCCTCATGTCCCCCATCCCGTGAGAAACCCCCAAACCAGAAGCAACTTGCTCAGGCTGCAGGCCGAGACATGAAAATCATGTCGCCTGCTCTTCTCCTGAAGAGACACGGGAGAACTACATCGCTGCGTGAGTGCGCAGCTACAGAAGATCCAAGCTGGAAAGTGTATTCTGGCCCGCAAGTCACCAACCCCGCACACTCACAAAAATCACAATACTGAAAAGTAGAAAAGAAGAAAAAAGCGCATGAAATCCCAGCTGTCTGCTCCTGGCAGCTACACGGCTGGACCGGTGTGTCTGGAGGGCCCGAGCCGCTTATTGGTGCTTGCATCGGCTGACGAGTGGACTAATTACTTGGCAAAAGCTTTGAAAACTCCCTTCACACACGTTATAATAACCGAAGCTATCCATGGAGCATGTAGAATAAAGAGACGCTTCACTGACCAGTGCTGGATGATGTTCGATGCACGCCTCTGACTGTGCTATGGTACTATGGCTACTGGACGGCAAGGGAAGGGCAAAATGATTAGCAGCACACGAATCAGTACTGCACTCATTATGGGCGCCACCAACAGCTGCAAGGAATTGCGCGCGCACTGGCATCTTGAGGTATCCTGCCTCGCTTAAGAGGTGAAACTGCGGCTGCGTCTTGCAAGCCATTTGGAAAATAATTGGTGAACAACCTGCTCCTAGATGATAGATTTGAAGTCAACATGTGCTCTGTACACTGTGTGTTTCACAGCTTCAACAGATCACTGAGTCGACCTCATCACATCATCCTGTGTTGGCAAGGACGGATTGAGCTGGCGCCATTGGCGGAGGCCCAGCACAATGTTCTTGAGATAGGCGCTCTTTGGATCCTGACCCACTAGGCTGCCTGGGAGAGTCTGCCATCGCATGAAGCAGTCTGTAACGACGACACGGTGAGGATGCATCGCCGCATTGAGCCCTGTCTCCAGGCCGACAAGCTCCAGAGTGGGCAGCTCGATGCGCCATCTTTGCGCGGCAGCTCCCTCCTCTTGGGGCTCACAGTCCGAGGAAAACTCCAAACCGCGAACTCTGGCCAGCAGGCCCCAAAGAAGAGCAACACTCCGAGCCGACATGGCTGGCACTACCACTTCTGCCAGCGACCAGGGCTCCTGAAGGCTGGGCGCAGCTGCTGCATCCAAAGCTGCAGCTAAGAGGGCACGCCGTGCCATGGCACTACAACTACGCGCCCAGCGGAACACGGGGAGCTGAGCTTTCTGTGCACCGTTTGTCTCGTCTGTGTCGGCTTGTGTCCTGGCTCCGCGACCGTCCCCTAGACTTCTCGAATACCCAATGCCATCAAGTTGCCTGCAGCCAAGTCTCATACCCAGCTCGAAGCGTATCCCTCGCAAAGGCTCTTCGCAAATGGCACCTTCTGCAGATGCCCAGCGGCACGCCGCTGCCACAGCTGGTCCTGCTTTTGCCAAATCCTCCACGTGGCACTCACCTCGGACGCGCGCGCAAAAAAATGCAGGGGCTTAGCAAATTTATGTTTAACCTTTGATTTGACTTGTCAGCTGAGAAGCCCCGAACAAAAACGTTGGTGCCGCACCCCTCCGCTGGGCCGAACGCCCAGAGGTTCAGGCTCTCCGCGAAAGGCCAGTTGTAGCGATCCGAAAGCATGAGTGCCCGCTGCCGTGCTCGGGCTCGAAGAAGCGGACCCGCCTGGCTTGGGCTTGGGGCTCTTGCGACAAGGCTCGCGGATTGCTAGGCCTCCTCAAGTTCTTGGCAGATCTGCTCATGCAGGCTCCTGAGCACATGCAAATCAATATTGCTCTGAGCTTCTCTGGGCATCTCTGGGCGCTGGGCTGCGCTTGGGCATTGCAGCAGATGCCCGGGTCTGAAGAGCTCCACGGGGAGCTTGAGAAGCTGGCTGAAGCAGCGCGAACGGTCTCTTTGTACTCCACGCCGTAGCTCCAGTCGTCGTCCTCTCCCTGCCGCGATGTCACGTAGTGCGGCTTGTCGTAAATGAGCTCAACCTCTGGCATGTTAAAAAAGGTGTTAGAATCCTGGGTGGCATTCTGCGCTAATTACCTGCAAAGATTCCTAAACGTTGCCTACACTCGAAAGCCCCCAAAGCCTGTTCCTCAGACTCACGTGCGGCAAGCTCTGCCGCAAGCTCCCCAATGCATGTTCGGAGGTGAAGCTCCCCGACACCGGAGATCACGTGCTCCCCCCACTCTTCTGCGCGACATCGCACCACAGGATCGCAGGCGCTCAGCTGACGGAGTGCCACAACCAGCTTGGGCAAATCTTCTGCGCGTTTTGGTCGTACGGACACTCTCACCACTGGGCTAGGCTGCGGGGTTTCAACAAAACCTGATTCGTGTGGAAGGCTCTCGTCCAGCAGGGTGCCGGACTTGAAGATTAGATGCTGGGGCCCCGTCAGCAGCACCAGGTTTCCGGCAAAGACCTGATCGACAGGCTCTGCGCAGCCACTGCAGGGCACCGCCAGCTGCTCGACGCTGGCCAGGTCGTGCCGGCCGTGTTCCTGCTTCCCGCTTACACGGAGGCGTTGTCCTCTGCTAATGCTGCCGCAGAATATCCGGCCAAGTGCGTATTTCTTGGCCGCGCCGCAGCTGCCAGCACTGCCAGCAGCCGGTCGAACAGCTAACAGGCGCGCCACAGCCAGGGTCAGAGGGCCTTCGGGCGAGCATTTCCGCCTTAGCCGAGAGTGGTGTGAGTCTTCAGTTGTTTGCTGCCACAAGCTTGCTAAGCATATGCAACGTCAGCTCCGATGACTTCTGTACAACAAGACCATGCAACATCATGCTTGAGTCCTACTCCTCAAGGCGCGGAGCAGAGCATCCGCATGCTTCCCTTCAGGCGTTCCCAAGAAGAGATGCTGCACCCGGTCAGCGCCCTGAGCCTGACACGGAGCAAAGATAGGTGACTGTGACTGGAGGCAACAACAAGAACCTACTTGCTTGCCTTGCGTGGGGAGGGCAGCCGAAGAGACAGGAGCTGGCACATCACCTTGCAAACAGAGCGCTTGCTGCTATGGCGCTGGCGCTGCAGCCCACGGCTCTCCCAAAGACCGTCGCCTGAAGATGTTCGAAGACTCTAGACCTATAATCCCTGAAGTGTGTCAAGACATGGCCAGGCGATGCCTGGCACGCATCTCCCTCCGCAAGCCGCTTCATGATTTTGGTGACGAGCGAGCGGTAGGCCAGGTACTTCTCCTGCAAGGCCCAGGTCAGCCGAAGTATGGCACTGCATGTGCTTCAAACTGCAAGACCTTCATGCGACCGTAACTTCAAAATGATACTTCAAAAGCTGAGGGCAGATGAAAACGGCTGTCGGTTTGGAATTTGCACCTTGCACAGGAACTCCAATCAGCACAGCGACAAAAGTGCCTGTGCCCTAAGCCTCCCCAACCGCGAAGACTATAATGTTAGGAACACAACATTGGAACGGGACTTCAAGCACGAGAGGGCGGTATGCTCTTTTTCACTATCTCAGGTCCAAAGGCCAGACCACTTTCCCATATTGAGGCAAGGCTACTAAGCCCCGTACGGCCCCAAAGGACCTGTGACCTACTGACACACGGAGCTAAACCTGAATCCAAGGCTCCCCGTAGCCCAGAGCTGGAAGCCGCAGTCCCTCGAGCATTGTGTGGGCAAGTTCCCAATCCTGCAGGGGATAGCAAATTGCTCCACCCGAATTATGAGTGCTGTCCTCCCCGACGGCGAAACTGCCCCAAAATGCAAGAAATTTGAATTAGCAGGAGGGATTCCTCTCTCCAGGATTTGCGTTGCAAACGCTGAGACAATGGGTATTCATTCGCCCAATGGGGTTTTCAGCTTCATCTAATGAAGAACGCAATCTGTCAATTCTGGCTGGCTGCAAGTCAGGCTGCAAAGGTTTTTGTGGCATATCATTTTTTCCTTCACGAGGAGAGGCTAGGCACAAACATGCGGGCTCACAGCAAGTCTTCGATGTAACAGAAAATGGAAACTGCTACGATAGTATATCTCAATGGAACAGCCGCAAATTCACACAGCTCCAAAAGTACTTTTCACTCCCATTACACAGATCGAGTTCTTGCAGGCACCTGGCGCCGGAAAGCAGCGCAAAGCTCCAGCAGCGGCTCGAGCACCAAGCGCCGCAGAAGTGGCTCCTTGAGCTCCTCAGCCTCACGGAACAAGTAAACTCCCACAACGAAACTCATTGGTCCTCATGACTTATGATGTTTTTTTCACGTACATGTAAGAATCATTATAATTCATATAATTCATTGTGCGTGGGATGGGCCCTTCCATGCCTCCTCTTCCTCCTCAACGGCGTCCTGACAGCGCTGCATGGGCACCACCCTGACCCACTCCGCGGGCAATGAGAATCTATTTCTGCCGGCGCTGATTTAGCATGCAATACAAAAGGAAATAGGTATTTTCTGGTGCCTCGCCTGTGCCCCCCCACGTCGACCCGCACACCACAGCCGACGGCTGAGGGCCTCAGCACGAGCAGCTCAGTGAAAGCAGCGGAGGGGTGTAGACCCCTCGTACAGACTTTTGTGCAGGCATTGCCGGCGCAGAGCGATTCTTGTGTTTCTGATTCACTGCCGCAGGTTTCCCGTCTCCGAGGTGGGGACTGCTATCTTCAGTCCATATCTATCCTGACAGCCGACAGACTGAAGGGCAACCCAGCAAGGCAGCAAGGCTGGCGACGAGAAACATCGACGGAAACAGGCAACAATAGGGACAACATCATTGGCAACAGCTACTTTTCTGCACATGCTAGGATGCTCAGTGTTTTGCAGGGCCCGGCGCTTAATAGGCCATTTCTGCCGTGCCATAGTTCTCAGCAGCAACGATGGGCTTTGCTGTTGAGTTGGTGCTCTTTTTTGAAGGTCCCAACTGGCAAAAAACGCACAGGAACATGTGGCCATGTGCCAAAAAAAGATGCCGAAAGGGGCCAAAGTTGCTTGTTTGTTGTGGAACTCCAGCAGGGGAAGGAGAGGAATATTTTCCAAGCAAAGGAGCCCTGAGTGTGCAAACCTGGAAAATAGATTCAAGAGTTGGTGTGCCCATCGGCATCAGACTTGAGAAGCCGTTGCAGGAGTCTGCAGGGTCATGGGGGTTGGAATCGCTTAAGGTGACGTGAGCGTGGATGTTGGCAAATCCCAGTTTTGACATGAGTCATCTCTTACTGGTCAATAATTAATGAGTATGAATCTTTCGAACTGTTGACCTGCTGGCCCCTTCGTACAATTGTAAGCGGCTTTCATGGTTTGACGTGCTGCGCATGAAGTTGTTGTCGCATGTTGCATTAGAAGTGGGTGCAAGGACCAGACGGCCATCCCACATGCACGCATCTGTCAATGCCTTGAAGTTGCGAGCTAGGAGAGGCAACGAAATCATCCAGCCTCCCAGGCAACGTATTACAGCACAAAAGCGGTCAGCCTGAAACTCCCACGTGTCTCACTGGCAAAGCAATGAGCTTGGGCTACCAGTGTTGGCAGTCAGTCTAAGTACGCAAGCACGGGCAACGGCATTACCACAAATCCTTTCAGCAAGCTTTCCGGAAAAACTTGCGCTTGTAAAGAATCTCTGTGCCACGGCGCGAGCGCGGACCAGTCTAGTATTGATGGCTGGGCGACTATTGAGGATGAGATAGCCTTGCGATGCACTGCCGAAAATGAGCTCACCATGCTCTGGTCGGACCTTGGCTCCATGCGCGTCCGGAGACAATGCACCGAGACACACATCTCACACAGTATCAACCAGCAGTTGCTTTTGAAATCTGGGCTGCCAAAAAAGTTGCAGTCTTTGCAGCTGCGCGACGCGGACTTCGCCCTGAGTGACCTCGTCCCCAGCTGTGGCCAGCACGGTGTTCACCTCTGGATTGAGGATTTCAGGGTTCTGCTAATGTCAGGAAGCAGAGAATTCGTACCTCGTCCACTGCAGCGTGCATCTTTTCCTCGAGCTGCTTCGCACTGTAGCGGCCTCCCGCAGCCAAAGAGTGTCTGAGCAGTTCTGAGCCCTTTGAGAGCCGCACTGGGCTAACTGTGCTAAGGCAACTGCAGGGGCAAACGAGCATGGCCCCACCAGTTTGCAACAAGCATGCCATAAGGTCAGGGCCATCCAAGCAGCGGTCGAAGTGATTCAACACCAACGCAACCTTGCCCCGGAGCTGACAACTTTCTTGAACGTGAGCTTGATGACGCCGAGTGAGTATTCATAATATTCTTTCTGCCCTACTCTACAACCTTTGCGGCTCTCCAGGAGGTTTTTGGCGCAGCAATAACAATGACGACTTCTGCCCGACCATAGCTGAACAATTGCGCCAGTGCCTGTGACGGTAGACAACTAATTAGTAGTTCACACTTAGTTCGCAGTCCTTACATTGCAGAAATGGGAGTTGAAATGATGCCGGTGTTTACCGCCACCGTCATAATGCTTGAAGAGGTGGAAGAGCAGCGCCACAGGAGTAGCGACTTAGTACCATTTGCACTTGAGCTGGTAGTGGTTCATCTTTGGTCGGAGCTCTCCTCCCGCTACAATGTGCTTTCGTATTACTTTCTATCACTGCATCCCAGCCTGAGCGCACAGCGGCTTGAAGCACTATAGTTACGACGAAGCACATGCCAAGCGCAGAATCAAGGAAGCAAGTGTAAAAATTAGGTTTGCTGTAACCTCTTCGAGAAAAAGTCATTCTGAGCTCTACCCAAAACTCTAGCTCGTGGGGTTTCCAAAACTCGGGTCCCTACTTTAACGCCTTGGGGGCCCTACCATAGTGATAATGGGAATTTTCAAAAGGGACCTAAGGCGCGTGGACAAACATCTTGGTGATTCAAACCGGCCTGGAGTCGCTCTGCTGCGGCGCGGCGGAGCAATATCTCGCAGGAACTGCAAGTCTCTTAGCAGAACTCGTGAACTGCTGTGTTGCATCAGCAGCTCAACGGTTTATCATGCTAAGCTGACTCTCCATGGATGTCACACGAATCATGGTACAGTACGTCTCCGGCATGACCATGGTACTCAGCAGGCTATGACAAAGATCTTATCTGAGCCCTCCTTCCTTGCATCGGTGCAGTGCAATGTGCGCAGCGGCACCCATGGCTGAAAAGAATGATTCCTCTTGGCAGGACCTTTCAAGGAGCCTTTTGGCTGAAGCTTCGGTTAGGCCTTGTCGTGTAGCGAGAGCCCCACCACGGGATTAACCACCTGGCAACGACATCCAAAACGAGCGTCTACGTCGAAGTCTAATCGAGCTTCGAGGCGCTTAAGGTGAATTCGGGCAAGTCAGCTGGCATCAGCCGGCAATCTGATGTGCTGCCTCGCACTTTTGAAGCTTGGGATTTTGCAAACTAGCGCAGGCCCGCCAGAACCACGCTGTCAGCCAAGCGGAGCCCTGCCTGATCTCGCACTAGGCAATGGCCGCTGATGCTTTATTTGGAAGCACGCCGTGGCTAGTTTGTCGTGCGCAGTTACCCAAACTCTTCCTCGCTGTAAGCACGCAAGCTTTTCCAACACCTTCACCAATCAAACTCCTTCACCCAATTCAGGTGCGGCATCCGTCGCTTCCATGCCAGGGAATGTTGCGCACATGGCAGTCCTGCCTGCGCCTCCCCAAGAAGGCTGCTTTGGCCTGGGGTGTCCATAAGGTAACCTTGGCCACTCTGAGGAACATTCAAAGGTTTCCAGCCTCCTAAGCCTCCTAAAGTCGACAATCACTGCTTGCGGCCGGGCATCATAGCAATGGTTCTGTCAGCGGGTTGCTTAATTGGTCCAGATCGCTTGGAAGCCTACAGTTTTGCAATTGGATCATGCTGCTTCATTTTTGGCGTCTAGCTTACGGGCAGGTCTGCCCAAGACCACATGGGCACTTGTAAGCAGAGCCGCTCGTCTTCTGCTTCAGCCTTCAACGCGCAATGACATGAAAAGCCCACAGGTGACTGGGCAATGAGTTCTGATATACGACATCGTCAGACAACTTCACAAAATCCTGGCCTGCACCCGCAAGCCCATTCCGCGTGAGAAGGTGGATGTCCGCGTCCCAAGGAACTTGCCATCCAAAGACTTCCTTTGCGGCTTGTCTTCTGGCTTCTGCTAAGAGCGTAGGTCGTAGGCTTACAACTGTATGTGTTTGTGACGTGGTTGCAGAGTGTAGTAGACAACCTCCACCAGAATTTGCTGGGTGATGTTTAACGCTTTGGCCGCAAGCATTTGCATTACTGTAGGTGTCCCCAAATGGGTCTTTCCATTAATTGGGGGTCGGGAATTTGTGAAAAGGAGCATGTTTGGCCCTTTTATATACAAACGATACATACCTCAATCCATACCCCGACACATACCCCCACAACGTCCCTTTCATCAACAGCCCAGCACTACGAAACATACCCTGAAACATGCGTCGAAACATACCCCAAAACATATCCCGAAACATACCCTCATCTCAACATGCTTTGTTTGACGACGGTTCAGGCGGAAACACCCAAATCCTGGCTTAGAGCAAGGATGCCTACAAACATTACTAAGCCACGTGGCTTGAAGATGCGCGAGGCGCGGGCGAGGGCACTTAGCCCTGCCGCCCCCTGACAGAACACTTCATTTGACTGACTAGCAGGTGAGCTGGCCAACACGAACAGATTGCATGGCACCTCTCCACCGTGCAGCTGTGAGCTGCGGACCCTGGCGTTAGCGGGTCCCCGCCTGGGTGCAAACGTCGAGCGCAAGAAGGGATGCATTGTCGTTTTGTGGGAAAGCTCGCTGTATGAGCAGCGAAAGTGGCTGATAAGGTTGCTCATGGCCCTGACGCCTCACAACAAGAAGCTTCTTACACTGAAGGCCCCCATCTTCGTGTGCTCGCAAGCTTTGCGTCGCACCGTCAGAAGGCATTGAACCACAGAGACGATGTGAGAGGCCAGTGACAGGGGCGACTGCAACAGAAACTGGGCCGCTGGCTTGGTGGCACCTTGCAAGTCAGACAGCATCATAATTAACCAGGTTGGGATGAGCCACATTCAGCTACATTGGGGACAAGGTCTTTGCCTTCTTGATGCTGTCAACGCACGCGCGCCGCCAAAGTTTCTACATAGCTGGGCCAACGTAGCAAAGTCAAAAAACACAACTTTCAGGTGCTCTCCGGCCCAGTTCAACACTTCAGGCAGCTGAAAGGCACAGTGAACACTGTTGTGAAAACTGCATCGACCCCTATTCCTCCAGGACCGGACGAGGGGTCAAAACATCAAATAAGCATTATAGAACAAAAAGTCAAAAATCGGGGGTCGGCAAAAGCAAAATAAAAAATACTAAAAACAAAACAAATGAATATGAGGCCACCCCCCCCTACAGTACGCGAGAGCCAGTGCTGCAACAGAGGAGGTCAAAAGGCGAGGGGTTGCAGGGGCGCAGCCCCGCCCCCCCGCCCCCGTGACGAGGTTTCACTACTAGACATGGCACGGGTTCATGTCGGGTGGCAGCTTTTGTTCAAAAGGTTTCACTATAAGACATGATACCGGCTCATGTTTACAAAGAGCAGTGGAGTTGCGGGGAGGCAGCCCACCACCCCCCAATTTGCAAACACGGCAGAGGTGATGAGGATTCCGTGTAAAAAAAACCTGATAGTGGCTCACATTCAGAAGAGCGGCAGGGTTGCGGGGCCGCAGCCCCTGCCATTTGCATACCATCAATCAAGGAATGCAGCAGTTGTTGATGAGGATTCGCTTTTGAACTTGATGCGTGCTTAAAATTGCTTACAAACTCTTTCACCTAGCTTGGAACGCCTCATATAGTAGTTTCCATTTTCTTGTCCATTATCCCAATACCCTAATGCGAAGGCAAGAGAGAGCTCATCTGCAAGGGCTGAAGCGCCTCCCTCAATTGGAAAGTCCTTCACCTTAAAACATGTATAGTAGAATTTCCTTACACGCCGCCACCGCGGCCAGCAAAAAGCACTACCACGACAGCAGAGCCACCCCAGTCGAGCTGCTCGATGTTTAAATTCCAACCCTACAAGCAGGGGCAGTGACTCGCAACAAGCGTAACAAGCCATGGGCTTTTTCGGGCAGGGGACGTAAAGCGGTTCATTCTAACTCCTGACACTATCGCACCCCAGAAGTGCAACTCCAATTGTGCCGTAAAACTCTTTGAGCCAAGGCACCTTCAGGCTTGTCCGTTTTCATGCTCTTCTTGCTCTTCAGTGCTCGGATGACCCTGTGTGCACGGACCACCTTGGATGCTCGTGAAGATATGCAAAGGCATGGTACTGTTCCAGTTGCAAGCTCAGTCAATTCCATATCCCAAGCCCATATTATCTCCTTTTGCCATGCAGCTGGGTTGCAGATTGCACCTCCAACTCCAGGGTTTTCTGCTTCCTGACAAGCAATCTGCAACAACGTCCATGGAAGTCTGTGGAATCATACAAGTACAATTTTGGCTTCACTTGCTCTCCTTCTCTACAGTAATGGTTGCACGTGTTCCACGGCTGGCTTAATGTTTCCTGCGCCCTCTGGGGCCCAGGTCCTTTGAGCCTCCAGGCTTGCTAGCATCATGATCTCCCCAAGATATTTCATGCTTTGCGAGCCCCTTTCAGCATACAGTGGAGATGCTACTGTCACCAGCATTCAACTCAATGTGGATGAAGGCTTCGGGTTTGCAGGTTTGTCAGCACACGCGTGAACACCATAGCCGGGCTCTGGAATGCTGCCCAATGGCGTCGGCGAAAGCGGTTGGGTCAAGGACTTCTCCTTGTTTTTGTCCGCCTTGTTTATCGCGGGTCTCATGCACCACCCTCATCCCTTGTCCATGCCCCATCATGCCATCTTCGAAGGGACAAGAAATAAAGGAAATTTGTAGCTTGCTGTCCGGGCTGCTGACTGCCGTCGGCTCAGGATGTCTGGCTCCTTCACGTCCTCCTGCCACGCCATGCCAGGCTATGCCACGCTCTTGAGTTTCCGGGCTTATGGCTTGAGTCTGGGCTCCTTCCCCGGAAACAGCAACGTGTGCACTTCCAGCTGCGTTGTCGGGGCAACCTGGTGGCTGGAAAAAAAAGAATGGAAACAAGCAAGGATCCCCGGGCCTCCCCGTTCGAAGCCTCCGCGACCTGTGCCTGCCTCAGTGGCTCGGCCTCCTGAACCAGGGAAAAGTTTGCAGGGCACCGAGAACAGGGCTGGCGGAGCTATTGGTCGCGGCCATCCGTCCTCTGTGGCTTTTAATGCCCTTGATCGCAGGAGCTCAACCAGCGTGCTCTTGCCATGGCCTTTGTCACCTATGACACACACCTCGGACTTTCAAGTCGGCTGTCAGCTGCAACGTTCTGGTCGACAATTCATGCCAATTCATCCACAGCCGGCCCGCGAGCGAGGGCTTGCAACTGAGCAACGCATCTGATGTTGTCCTGCTTGCCTTGGGCAACTTGGACATCCTGCTGGCAGAATTCCACCATCCGGCATTCTCCGCCCACTTTCCAGATTGAAGCAAACGAGTATCCACCCGAACTGGTGAGTCCTTACTCCATCTTACTCCTGTCATGTAGTTTCAGGACTGCACCAGCTGCTATCCTGCTACCTGCTACTACAAGCCTCTTAGGTTGAAAGCTCCCACCACCCTCACATACCCTGACGAAGCTGCATGTGTGAAACTGATAACTAAATGGCCGCAGCGTTGCGCAAGGTACATGGTGAATGCCGCGATCTACCTTGCTAGATCTAGCTTCAAGCTTAAAGAACTCGGAAGGAAATCATAGCGACGCGGAAGCTTTCGCGGATTTTGACCGCGCTCCTTAAGCCTTATTCCCCTCAGGACTGTTAGTACACGCTTTGAAAAGCCGAGAGGAGGAAGGCGTACACACCCGCAAAGCAGGAGCATCGCCGCCCGAAGGGTCTACCTGTCCTCGCCAATTTAGGCACCAAAAGTTTTTGGATTGCCGGCATCCAGGACGTAGTAGCCGAAGCTATCTGCATTCATCAGCGCTTTGGCTGGATCCTGCCGTGCCAAGCCCTTGCACAAAGACCGGCCGTAGACCATGGTGCAGTCCCCCGCCGAGGAATCGGTCGCCACGGCTTTAAACAAGGCCTCAAAACAACAAAGGACAAGCTTAAATGCACCTTTGCGAAGGCACTTGCAGCCGAAGAGCCGCATCCCCACTCTGAGAGAAACGCAGCAGCTTCATGGTGTAGGTGACCCTCGGGTCGAAGACGCTGTAGGAGAAATCCTGCTTGCAGACGGGCGCCTCGCAAAAAACTGCAACAATGTCTGCACCCACGTCACACATGTACTGGCTACTTGCCCAGCAACCTGGAGGGAGCCCCGACTAGTGTCCACATTCAGGCAAGATGCCGCCATCCCCCTGGCACCGCCGCCTTCTGCATTGAATCTGACCTGCAACGCTACATCGTGCATGGGTTTGACGGCGTGCCTTGGCCCCTGCGTTTTCCCACAATTCTATGTACATATATCATATATCTATGTGGGCTCGGGCCTATACCCCCCTACATCTCGCAGCTTGTGTCCCAACAACTCCATGTAGGGCTCATTAATTTCATTATGGCTTATACGTTCCACTACAATGCTTTATATAGTCATTGCAATCCTTCTTTTCTAAAATTTTCTGAGGCAATCCGATTCGCTACAATGTTGGCGGAGGGTATCTGACATGTGGTATGCTCCTTCTCCGTAGCCTTAGGATGCAAAGAGCCTGAAATTTAGTCCGCTTTTGCGCCAGAATTGAAATCATTTCCTCAATGTAAGTACTGCTTGAAATATTTCAACTGTTATCGAGACATACTATATGTGTCTCAATGTTAAGGAAGACGTCTCAAATACTTGGCCCTGCGTTTTCCTAATTCAAACACCCTTTTTAAATTAGTATGCAAGATTCTCCGATTGTGGGCTCCTGTTATGCAAAAACCCGGATTACATGGAATTGAAACAGTTCCAAAAAAGTGTGGTTCTCCCAAGTTAAAAGAAACATCTCGAAACCAGAGTTCTTCTTCTTCGCCATGGACATCCCTTACTACCTCCGTGTGATGCAAATTCTCTGCAATCCTGGGCTCCTGTTATTATGTTGTATGTACATAGCCCCTATTGAAGGTATTTCAAATTGAAGACAAATCCTCACGTCATGGGCTTCTTTGCTCTACAGATCTTTTTGAGTAAATGTCTCAAACTACAACAGGAAGTAAGAAATTACTCAGAACATTACATCTCTTGGAGACCATGAAAGAGAATATTCCTGATAAGGGGCTTATAAAGAGAAAAAAGAAGCCCAAGACTTGGAATTTGTATCTAAACTTAAAAAAGATGAGGAGAACATGAGCCCAGGAGTGCAATAACTCTTTTGAGCCCAAAGCGACCAGCAACTCACCAAGTAGGCCACCGGTAGAATTAAACTTCAGTTCTTACGAATGGAATAGAAGCCTCTGTTCCACAATGAAAATAACAGAGAGATACAATTGACTTGACAGAAATGGAAGCTCCACTTCCTTGCAGGTGTTTCTTCTGATCCCATAGAAATTCAACAGAATCAACCGGAGCTTTAGATGTTCTGCTTTCGTTTTACATAGCGTGCCATGTATAAGGCCCTGTGTATAATCAAGCCTGTGTTCTGTAAAGGAGAAATATCGGAAAACCTTTGGTTCAACGGTTCCTTGGTTCCATGGTTTACCCCGCCTGTTTCGATACGGCCCGCAGGTTTGGAAACACGTGTTTGAAGCTCCTAGTCTTAATTTAATACAAAACACTTGAGAAATCTTATGCTTGCTGGTTAACACTTACTGTAACATGATTAACATATAAGGAAGATGCACGAAATGCAGTGCGGAAAAATGTTGGGTTTTCCACGTAGGAAAATACGTTAAAATCCCCTCATACCACATATGGTCGTGCCCATGTAGCCCAACTGGATTCATGGTATATGGATTTTCGGTCCGGCAGCGTCCCCGACCTGGAAACAAACTATTATATCTTAGCTATAAATCATGTTATATCAGGGAATTGCACGAAATGCAGGAGGGTTGGAATAGCCTCGTATATAGAAGTATCCGTAATGTACGCCGCCAAACCTATATATGTTTTTTAACCGAATCTTTACCTATATTACCATAAATTCTAGATGGACTACGAGAAAGAAGGATAAACAACACTTAGAAACACGACAAACACATACCGGAAAGCAAAAAACTGACGACATGTCTCTGGCCCTCCACCAACAAACAAAAACACGCGCACACACACACACAAACACAGCAACAGAATTTGGTGTGTTTTTGTTGCTCTTTCTTTCTTGCATTAGATTCGGAATATGTTTACAGGGATCCACAAACATGGAGTTGGGATTGATTGAGTTTTTTTGGGGCTTGTTGGACGCTTCCATGCAACTCTTGTACAGTACTTAACAAACCACATAACGTGCTCTGCGGAATGCCTCAATTCCAGCCCTGCACAGATAAATGAATAGATATATATATATATACGCACAACGTGGAAATTCTAACTAATGAGCTAGCCTGGAGCCCAAGGGCCTCCAGGCCGGATCTCTATTGATGCGTTTTTTCGCTTCAATAGGATGCAACTGCAAATTCGTTTGAAATTTGAGACGCACTCGAGAAAGATTCATTCAGGAATTCTGTCAAGGAGAAGCCCAAGACTTTCGAGAGTTCCTCTTCAAATTTGGCGTGCATCTTGTATGGGGTTTGTATAAAGAAAGTAAGGCGAACAGGAACCCAGGATTTATCTTATGGTGAAGAACAAAACCCTTGAATTTGCAAAATGCATTTTTAAAGATGAAGCATTGTTTGAAGAAGCTCAGGACTTGCGAGTTCTTCTCGAAATAGAAGCATAATGAAACAAGGGATTTTGTAGGAGAATATGAGCAGCCCAGAATTAGAGAATTCTTCTGAAAATTCGTAACCAAAATGCATAAGGATTGAGAAATAGAGAAGCTGCAGGGCCAAGGATTTGAGATTTCTTTAAAATTGAAACACATGTAATCTCTCGGAATGTTTTTTCGTATTGAGGACAAATAATTACTGAAAGTGTGTGGAAATAGCTTCGATTCTTGCCCAAAAATTACTTTCAGACTTTTTGGATACCAAAACTATGGAGAAGAAGCATACTACATCTTGAATACCCTTCACCCGCATTGTAGCAAATGAGATTCCCTGCGAGAATTTTCTTTTCACCAGTAGAGCCAAACCTCTGTTCCTACGAACGGAATGGAGTTCCCCTCCAACAGCATACAAGAGATATATAAATTTGACTTGAGAGAAACGGAAGCTGCACTTGCTTGCAGGTGCTTTCTTTTGATCCCATAGGAATTCATAAGAACCAAATGGAGCCTGAGCTCTCTCCTCATATGGAGACGGTGTGGTGTTTCAATGCACATTTGTTTTTCATGTTCATTTTGCATAACGCGCTTTGTATAAGGCCCTGTGTAGAATCAAGCCTGTGCTCTTCAGAAGAGAGGTCTCTCTTCTCTTCACAAAGAGCACAAAAGCAGCCTTATTAATATCTACGCGGGCTCTGGCTCTAACAATATTGATAAAATAAGTCTCATATTTAATATGAATATTCAAGCATCATAATATTCATAAAACGAACAGTATTCATAATAATAGTAATACCAGTACTCTTTGCAGAATGTGCGAAAACATGTAAACGCCGGGGCAAAGGTACCCTGCTAAATGCGTGGATGCTATCCGCGGTTTGCAATACCTGTAGGATAGGGATCCCACTTGGACAATTGCATGCTTATTTCGTCAACCTAACGGGCAGGTGGCTCATCCTGTGACTAGATGTGTTGCCAATGTGCTCCCCACTTTAGCGATCGAAGGTCCAATATAAGGTTGAGGCATGGGAATCCTCCAGACTCAGCTTATACACATCCTGGACCAAGGGTGACTGTTCGTATTGCCCAAGCCTGGCCCTCCTCCACAAAGCATACTGTGGGCAAATCAGGGCTTGTAACCTGAAATGCAAGTTCTGGAATCAATGCAAGAGGGCAGAGCCATAGATTGACTTGAAGTGGAAAAAACCTTTCGCTTGAAGATTCGGAGCTAAACCGCCCCACATCAGTTCCAGGAGGTCTGCCGCACTTCGACAAGTTTGCATATCGTTGATGGACTCGGCGTATGAAGGGCAAGCCTCAACAAATTGTCTGCAAAACGGCCGCGCAGCACTCAAGCCCAAGCAAAAGTCTGCAAGGTGAGTGTGTGCCTTTCATTCCTGATTCTATCCCCTGCCGCGAGACAGCACTACCTTTGGCAGCCGCGAAGAAAGGCAGCAGCAGTTGGCAGTCTCCTGACCCAGCACACCCTACACCATCTCTCATGGCGTCTGGTTGCGCGCCTGTCGTGCTCTTTGCATAATGCTCTGGACAATTGCCGTCAGTTGCCGAAGGAGCCTCGAGCCTCGGCTGGTCGTGCAATCCACTGGCCAGGCATCCTCAACTTGATGCATTTTTCCAACTTTCCAAGCCACGGCAAGGTCTCGCAAAGCGGGTGGGTACCTACCAGCCCTGTGCCCTTGGAGGCATTGTTGAAGTAGACTCCCTGGAAGAATCCTTGGCAGCAAGAGCTAACCGCTAGCCGTCCCTGGCTGCGTATGTGAAGTGCTCAAACCATGGCCAGGCTGCCTCCGGCAATCTCATAGCAGCCCTGAGGCCAGTCACTGTCTTCTTCCTCGCCGCCATAGACAGTCCTGCCAGGGCCACACGGGAAGTGCGAGAAGTCGGGGCATTTGCCAGAAATCACGAGTTGCTTCGGCAAGCGACTCAGGCTCAGGCCCAAGGGATTTCGCAGCTTCCTTGCAGACATCAGCCGTCCTGAAATGCAGTGATCTACGAGTATGTGTGTGAGGCTTAGTGCGAGCCGAAGGGCTTCAGGCCAGCCATGTTTGCCGGGCAGCGCACTGACCCCGACGGGCCTGGCCAGACGGGCGCCGCAAAGTTTCTCAAAAGCCTTTGCCCCGCCTCTTGCGAAGGTCGGTCTTGTGATGTTGGCCAACTGCTGAATCTCAACTCCTCCGCCCAAATCGCATGCGCTCAGGAAACCCTAGCAGGTTTCAGCCATTTTCTATACCAAACAGTTTTAAGCCCAGTTTACAAGATATACTTTTCCCTCCCCTTTTAACCACTGAACACATCGAGGCTACGCACGGGCAACATCTCTCTGGTTAGGCAATATTAGAAACATTGGCTTCTTCACATTTTGGGCCAGCAGATGACAGCAGAAACCAGGGTTTGGAGGAACAGGTATAGTGCGGACACTGCAACCACTCACTACTCTGGAATGCCTGGCACGTTGCAGGAGCTGCCGCTGATGCTAAAACGCGGCTGCTCATCCAGACTGCCTGGGCACCTTGATGCACTGAGGCGCTGGAGACCTGCTGTATGCTGGATAATGCAACTGAAACAGCATGAAACTGACCAACACCCCGAGACTACAAGTCGTTTTGTCGGCAGTCCTGCCTGCTGTCTCCATCCACATGTACTGGGACTGAGGGCAGCTTACCACATCGTCGAGATACGCAACTGCATGGTGCGAAGATTCATGTACGGAGGTTTGGACTGCATCGGCCAAAAGCCCGAGGGTCTCTGCATTCACTGTGAGAGGGCACACGTACACCACGAATTGCCCCCTGTGGTTCTTCCTGAAGACCCCTTGCAAGTCAGGGACCCCATCATAGGCAGTTGGATAAACGAAGGCAAATATGCTGTCTTCGTCGCAGCCCGAGGCGTTGTAGATGAACTCCTCTGCCAGCGCTTGCTTACGCTACTTATGTGCCTAGGTTGTTGTCTGTGCCAGCACGTCATGCTACTGGTGAAGAACCGTCTACGAAGACCTGGAAGCAACTAAGGTATGACATGCCTTCTGATTGCTCTTGCACCTTCTGCGTCGGAGCAGGCTCAATGAAAGTAATTTCATATTGGGACTGGAGCCTTCTGGTGCCTGAAGATCTCGCAGCTGACACGTTGCAAAACCGAGGCAGCCGTCAACGGGAAAGGGGCGTCACATGCCAGTAGGAGCTTGAGGGAACACGTTACAATTTGCCCTTTACCACCCCTCAGCTCTGCGTCAAGGTAGACCTTGACCCCAACATCCTCCAAGGCCCCTGCAGCATCCTGCAGCCTAATCCTCTGCAGCCGAGGCTCCGCTGTGTTCATCACGTGCACGGCAGAGTTGAGCAGTCGAAGCACTTCGACGCGAGTCTCTTTCAGACTAAGTTCCGTGACAGCCTCGTCCCCGAACCATGTTGCCAGGTGGGGCACAGTCTTGTGCAGGCCTTCAGGGCGTTAGGGAGAGACATGGAAGCACGTGGACGAAGCCTTTTCTTTATTCAAGCGAGCGGCGCAGGTTCCGGATGGCATTCATAACAAACACCCGAGCAACTAAGTTGAACTTGGCCAGCTTGCTCTGCCAGTCGTTGGGCTGAGCATCACTGTTGGCCAAATAGGTGTTGAAGGCACGAGGGTACACCCGAAACATATACAGTATTCGCAGCGCCATTTCCTTGGCAACACATTTGATTGCCGCTTGCAGGTTTACTTTGTAGGATTTTCGGTGGGGGAGGCAGAGATGAAGTCCGTTAAGGCATGGAATTCTGCTTTGGTCTTGTTAAGCTTCTGTGTTTTGCTATACGTAGGTCCCTTCAGATTCCGGCGATGCGGAAAACCAAGCAAAACTATTCAATGTCCATCGCTGAGCGTCGGTGCTGTATGATTTCACAAGCGTTTCGAATCCGTGCTGGAAGGGATCCTCCAATCGTACAGTGCTGCGTTGGCGCCGATGGCTGCCAGCAGCTTTGGATGTAGCCTGATGCCTCGAAGACACAACCCCTTCAGGCTTCAAACCTAACCATCCAATCCCATGCTCTGCAATCCAGGCAAGCCACCGAGAAGCTCCCAGGTCCTCCTGTGCTTCGGCAAGCAAATCATTGCAAATCCAAAGGCTCTGTGCACTGTTCGCATCTTGTTGCCCTGCGGTCCGCATTCTGAAAGCGCGTGGCCAAAGTCTGCGGGGAGAGGTCTTCGGTGCAAACGTCCTGGCCTGCGCTCGCTCGCGGCTAAGTTGCTGAGTCGTGCTATTTTGATGCTTGCGAAGGGCATACGGGACTGCTACAGTTTCAGTGATGCTCACTGGATCTTGAACTGCAAAGCGAAACAGCCTGACGACCCTGAAGCGAGATGCTGCTTGCTCTGCCTTCCACATCCCGGTAGCAGCCAATGTCTGGAGCAGGCGGGAGAACCACGCTCTGCTTCGCCAGATATTGCGCCGAAACGCGGCACAGCTTGGCACCTTTGAAGCGCGGGAGATGTTGGACTGTGGAGGGAGTACGCAAAGGCGACCGACTAGACGAAACGGCAAGCAAGCTATTATGACAAGCTGCCTGGGAAGGCTTTAATGAATTCGTGTTGAGCTTCTGGACCATAACAGGACGGAGGAAACTTCAGTTGAAACTTACCAAGAGCATGCGAAGTACAATTATCCTTAAATCGATCGGAGCGCAGAGAACACGATCTCCCTCCAGCGCCGTCTTTTCCAGACGGACGGCCTCGGCAAAGGCCTGCAACTCTCCAACCATTGAGATTATGAGCCTGCAGTCTATCGCAGCCGTGCTGGATGCTTGCAACACGGAGATCTTGGAAGTTGCAGGACCATCATGAAACAAAAGTCTGATTGCTTGGGTCACGGTCATACCCCAACTGTCCACAGAAATCACCTTTCTTGCTGCACGCCTCTGCAGAAACCCCACGGCACCCGCGGCTCAGCTGAGGTGGACGCATGCGAGTGCTGAAAATAACCACATTAGCAAGGTTCATAAACATCACATTTTGGTTACTGTAGGGAATTTGGTGCAATGCAGAGAAAAGCGCTGATGGGCTCAGGGCCCACCTTTTCTCCCACTGGGACATCTACATGCGGCTTCTCGAGCACGCGCCTGGAATGTGCTTGGTGCCACTGCCAGCAATGTGTGCAAATCGGCCAGCGTTAGGGAGCTCCTGAGCAGCCATGTCGTGACTTTCCTGTTCCGACTCACTTCACAAGCCTGTCTGCCCTGTCTGCAAGCAGATCACGCCCCCTCTGAACCGGAGAGCAGCTTGCAAACGCCCGCAGCTTCTGAGCAGAGGGTCTCCAAGTGCTCCTCCTTCGGCTTCACGGGGCGCTTCATTTCACAAAATTGGCTGACCCTGACTCCCTGACACCGCGCCTCGGCGACGGGACGCCTCTGAAGCTGAAGTGCGTGGAGAGCGCACGAGCCCTGGGCAGTCTGATGCATGTGCTTCGGCCGATGCCTAGCAACGGTCCTTCTGTCTTGCCCTCAGCCTTATACTATAACCTGCACACTACACGCGGCTGCAACAGATGCAGTTGGTGCCGTCAAGAATCTGCTTGGCACTCATCATCGTTCAACAAAGGCTCAAGGTCTGCGGAGCAGAAGACCGCCAACCATAGCAACTTGATCATTATAGGCCCCTACGCGCCAAGTTTCCGCTGCAGACTTTGAGCCGGAGCAGTGAGCGCGTGCAAATCATGTTCCCATCACTTGGAAAAATCAAGGCAGAAAATGCCCACTGGGGGTGCCAAGCACCTTTTTCTCAAGCCCGCACCCAATCAGGAATCAGGCGGACAACACAACTACGTACTTTACAAGCAGCACTCTTCGCGAGTGCTGCCCAAACGATGCTCATCTGTGGCATTGGCTGCACCCAAGGCGTGGCAGTTCACCTCCTCAACGCACCTTGGTGGCAGCTTAAGAAAAAGCTCACGGGTTTCTTCAGGGAACCCCATCCCAGCGGGTAACCTCCTTTCTTCGTAGCACTCGGCATCTGTGCTGCCCAGAAGACCCACAGCGCGTCTGCGCTTCCTGCACTTATGGGTGGATTTTTGTTCATGTGACTTTCGGCTCTTGCGGCTAGGATGCCACTTCGTGAGCGGCAGCTTTGTTTCGTACGTGGCGCAGTACCTGCATCGAGAGAATCAACTGAGCCAAGCTTGCAACGTGTCTGAGCCTCAAGAAATTCGAGAAGCAGTGCATGCCAAGAGGCTTTGGCAAGCAGCAGTCGGCATCCGTGCTGCCCTGATAGCGATACTGGTTGGTGTCAGCCTCCCACGACGCAGCACATGCGAGTCAAGTCTTTGACTTACATAGGAAGGCTGCCAGCATGTGCCACTCACCAGCTTCAGTGGCGTGTTACTCTGCAGCAACTCACCGACTCCCCGACGCCTTCTTGTACCACTTTGTCCCATGACCAGTTCCCTGCGCATCCGTGCTGCAATTGTAGTCGGCCTTACACAAGCCACGTCTAGCTTCTCAAATCCCCACACTCAAAATTATCGGCGTTCCAGTCTCGCGAGAGCATACCATGAGACTAATGATTAATGGCTAAAGGGAGCGAGATGCGCGCTGCGCACAGTGCTCTATGCGGCATGATGCAAGTCCAGATGCCATTCTCAAAGTCATACTAGCTGAGCCAACCAAACTAGAAACATGGAGTCTTTGGCCATTGCCTTTTGCTGCCCACTACGCACTCACTTTGACTTCATAACTTGCCCAGGCCACGCAGAAGTTGGCGTCGCAGCACTGCTGGACCGTGCTGCCCTGAAGCCCAAGCAAGACCTGCCACAGCTGGTTCAACGGTTCCGTGGCATGTCCTCCGTGTGCCCTTCCCTTTGCCTTGGGAGCTTTGGAGCGCCACTTACCTTGCCAAGGAATTCAGAGATCAGCTGAGCACAACTGGCACTCAACCCGGCTCAGCTCCAGTGCTGTCACGCTGCTACCATCCGCCCTCTCACAATCGATGGAGTTCTCGCAAAAGATCTCCTTCAAAGCGCTCTATATGCAGTCAAGCCAGGTACAAGCAACTACATGTACAGCTCAAGTATCGTGCGGGAGAGTACTGAAGAGACTTCAGCGCGGATGCAATCAGACCTGCCTGCTGAAAGCATGTCACCACTAGACCCTGCCTGGCTTCGGGGTTGGGGTCATAAATAAACCTATAGTAGCTGCGCCATCAGGGCTGGCAAAATTAATGCTGGCAACCTGGACCGCTACAACTGAAGTACTGCAACCATGCATTCTTCCCTCTTGCAGCTTCATGCCTACGTACCAGCGACCCGCCTCACAACAGGTTTCGTCGTCAAAGCCCCTTCGCGGACTTCCTTCCTCCATAAGCGGCTTCTTGGAACATTTCGTGGCATCGCCTCATTCCAGACTCTTCAGTGCTCTCTCTTCTCTCGCATTCATAATTGGAAGTGCCGACCAAGCTACTGCAGGTGTAGTCCTTGCAGAACTTCAGCTCGCAGCACTCCGAGTCCGTGCTCCCTTGGCAGGGGGGTGAAGATGGTGCAGACTCACGAATGCACGGTGCGGGATTCAGTCATTGCCGAGCCTGACAAAATCAACCCAATACGTCTAAGATAGCCAAGGGTGCAGGACGAGGGAGCAAAAGCTGAGAGCCACAAGACCATAAGAGTCACGCCCTCAAGCTCTGCCCTGGACCATTGTGGTTTGGCTGCTTGAGACCACTCTACGTAGAACATACCTCTGGTGCAGCTCAGCTTCCTTGGCCTCAATGTGGAAATTCCAAACTTCAACTGCTGGAGCAGTTTCTAGCAGCTCCTGGGTGCTTACCTCTAGAAGCCCTTCTTGCAGACCCAGCTTCCCAGCGCCAGGGAGGGACGGCCGTCGGGAAGCTTGGGAACCATCTTCTTTGGATCTTGGAAGAGGCCAGTGCTTTGCAAGTGCAAGGACCATCAAGTTGCTTTCGGAGGCATCCTTTACCATTTGAAGCTACAACAATTGTTTGTTCTCCTCATTCAGCCCAGCATCCCTGGCAGGTGTAGTCCTTGCACGAGAGGGCCTGGCAGCATGCCTGGTTGCTCCCCCCCTGCTGCAGCTTCGGAAGGGCTTTCGGCTTCCATTGGCTGGAAGGAGAGCACTTGAAGTCAGCCTCAGGAATCATTGACTCCAAGCTTCCGACGGTGGCAGAAAAATGGACCAAACCGCACCAAGTAATGTCCAAGTGTCGCAGAAATTCTTGTCACAACCTTACAGGCTTGCGGCCCGCAGGTGTGAGAAAGACACGTGTAGCTTGGGTGATATGTGCCTGGTGCCACATGTTTCACAGGTGCTGCCTCATCCTGGGTTTGACCCAACTGGCTATACTCAACCACAAATGGAGACTTCAAATTCTTATGCAAAGGAGTATTCGATTGAAATCTGCATTCAGTAGTTGTTTCTGACGACACATTTCGAGCGCTCTATGCGCTGCCATTGCTACTGGATCTTTCGCTTGCTGCTGCTACCACCACTACCACCACCAGTACCACTGCCTCCCGATCCACTACTGCCACGACTACTGCTACTGCTACAACTACTGCTACTGAACTACTGCTACTGCTACTATGACTATACTGCTACTACGACTACTGCTACTGCTACTGCTCCTCCTCCTGTTGTTGTTGTTGCTGCTGCTACCAGTGCGACTGCTCTTGTGCAGCATATGCCTGCGCACATTATGTGAATGGATCAATGGGAATGTTTCGCCACAGCCCTGCATGGTTTCTGCGAAATCCAGATGTTTGCCAGGATGCACTCGGCGAAGGTGCTGCCCAAACCGCTGGGCGTGGTCTTGTTCCGCCACTCTAAGTTTGCGCTCTTGCCACAGTCCTGCCATCGTTTGAGGAGACTCTTGCGGCCCTGCTCTTATATTTGTGCTACCAGGTTTAATTGGATTGTTGCTGCCGTTACCTTCCATGGTCTTCGATACTTGATAGTCAAGTCAAGGCATCGCTCGGTCCAGGTCCGTGCATCTGGCTTCCTTGCAGCACTCCTCCTCGGTGTTCCCTCGTCGGGGCTTTCCTGGCACAGCGGTCGCATGATGCGGCAATTCCTCACAAGGATCCCTTTGGGTGTCTTGCTGATAAGGATATATAGTGGGCCATGTAAGGATCAGGAATTAAAAAACTTCCAGCCAGAAAAATCTAACAGGTTTTTGGAGCATTGCCAAGGGTCCGTCGGCTTCATGCGTGACAAGAATGTATTCTGTTTCTGATGGACACTTCATCTCGTGGCAGAACCTAAGCTGTAAAGATACCACTCGTGGCAACAGCGGCCACAAGTAGCAGGTCACTAGCGATTATCCACAAATTTCCTTAATCGCTAATTACTAACAGGTATTTGTGCTTTCGTTTACTGACCATACTACCCAGAAAGTAAGCACGAACAGCTTGCGACCAGACCAAGAATCGCAGGCTCACAGCACTCTTCCGTCGTGCTGCCCTGAAGGCCAGTTGCATTCTTGGCCTGCATTGGACAAGCCAGAGTTCAAAGGTAAATGCAAATAAGCCGTCTCTATCCTACAGCCACATGCGCAGGATCTGCAATGCCAAGAAGGGGCCAATGCCAAGAAGGGGCTAATGCCAACTCGACTGCCCTCTGCGCCTTGAACCCCGGTCCACAAAGGCTGCCGTCACAAAGACGCGGTTGGCAGCATTGGTCTCGGGTGTAGCCTGCAGTGAAAAAAACAGGTGAATGACCCCCATGGCATGAACTCAGAAACACACAGAACAAGTTGCTCTCCGCGCTGCGCCATTCCCAACATGCATCATGGAAAACACAACTCCTCCTCCTTCTCCTCCCTCAGCTCTGCATCGCAACAAGTCATTGGGCACTTCCAAAGCCCATTAGCCTAAACTGACAGAGCAACAATGTTACATAAAACTGAAGGCATTTATGCATTTTTGAACAGGTTACGGTTTGCATGGTCTGCAAGTCCGACCCGGCGGTAGGCCCATGTGCAACCAGACACCGTTGTCAAGGTTAACGAGAAATTTGCCCACAATCAGAATGCAGCATGATTCCCCGGGAGCCTTTCAGCTGGTCGAAGTTTGGTCTCTTCGTCCAGGCCGTGCCATTGCAGCCACCCACCTTATGTTATGGTCCATTCTTCGGACTGCTTCTTTGATCTTTTTTGATTTGGCAGTCTGTGAGCTAGCAGCCGACAGGATTCTCAAAGCTCACCATCAAAGACTAGACTGCTCGGAATCCGCATCCTGATGCATGAACGAGCCTCTGCGGCATCCTTGCAGGTGATGGCTTCGCAGCACTCGAGCCTGAAAACGAGGAAGTGCCGGCCCCTCCCTCCCGCCCCCGTTTGACAGCTGGTGTTTGAACATCCTCGGCACCAAACAAGCTGGGACGAGTCTGGCCTGCTGTTTCCAAGGGTAGTCGGAGGCTTTGCCGTCCAGCCCTCGCCGCAGAACTCCTGCAGCTACAGTTTCTGCAACATTGCTATGCATCACCCTCCATGACTGCCGAACGGCATCAAGGACGTGCCTTCAAGATCTCCACAATTTAGTTCAGCGACATGCATCACTGGCAACGTGTTTCTAGTTAGCCAGCACGTTAGGGGTCAACAGTCCACAGGGCTGTGTAAGAGAAGCAAGCCCTTAGAGTCGGATGTCCTTCTCTCCGCATTTCAGCGGTCTGAGGCAGAAGTTCTTGAAAATTACCTTATCTCCGTGAGTGTTCATTTCCATCTGCCAACACCCTGGGACACAGATTTGCGAAGCTCAGTTTTGTTTTGGACGCTGCTCCAAGTAATGCCTTGTTTACAGATCAATCACCGAAACTGCGGTGTAATCATCATTGAATGGCAAACATCAACTCTGGCAAGCAGCATCGCCGTTTAAGACCTGCACATGGTGTCATTAGATTTTTGGAAGCTGCAGATATCTGCAGGTCAGCTATGGAGTCAGCTAGAGCTCCAGTTGTGATGCTTCAGGCATCCTGATGCCACATGGCTGACTTCCAAGCCTGAGGTCCATCGCGATACTGGAAGCTGGCGTCTGATGCTCCAGCAGCCACACGGCCCGTCGCGCTGACTTCTATGCCTTCAGGGTTCCGCGCTGAAAGTGGGCAGAGGGGACGACTTTGAGAAACATGAAGCACATGCACCAACACCCTTGGCATCTGCCTGCTGCTTCAGCTGGAACGGTGATCATCAAGAATCCACCACGGCCGGCAAATCCAAACTTTACAGCCTCTTTGAGGCTGCTGTTCACCTTGGAATGGGTTGTTTATGCGTTCGGGCTGTTCCTTTACCGTTAACGGCCCTGCAGCTGCCGGCAGAACATTTCTTTGACATTCGGCAGCATGGCCATGCACCGTGCTTTCAGTGGGCCAATGTGGGCCACAAATATGCTTTCAGGTGCATGGCCTGCCTTGCTACTACTGCACTGAATGTTCAAAGAAGCTGCAGCAGCGACCCAATTACTTGCTACAGCTACATTCGCAAGTTCTAGAAGAATACTACCCGTAGTGCAGAACTGAGACTCCTGCCGTTACGCTGAGATGCCATGCAACTGGAACAGCCCAGTCTGCCACCGCCTTCAATCCTTCCTGCTGCAGGCCGGCTCTTCAGTTTCGGCTTTCAAGTAGCTGTCAGCTGACCGACATGGTGACATGGTACTTGACTCACGCTTGTCTGCAGCTTCCAGGCCTGGAAATCTGCTAAGTCCTTCGCATTCAGCAAGTCCTCGCCGCGTGCCAGGCCAGCAGCGTGGTACTTGCCAGCAGCATCCAGGGGGAACTGGCAAAACATTCGACAGGAAGAGACTCTTTGGATGAACCACCCCGGCGAAGAAGCTGCACAAGAAATCAGCTTCAAGCTCAAGCCAATACCATAAAGCGGACTGGCCTGATTTCCACTGCACCTGACATTTCTCTGGGTTCTTGGAGGGGATGACGGTTAGAATGGCTGCTGGTTCGAGTGCAGGTTCAAAAATCCAGTGGAGCGACTGTCATATCCTTGAATCATGGTTAGATGCGCGGGCTCGGGCAACTTCAGCAACATGCGCGGCGACGACGGGGATGTCACAATCCCAAGTTTCAGTACTACAAACCAACAATCGCCGGAAGCTGCATAGCAACGTTGACGGCGTTAGCGGAAGACTCGGGGTTGATGTAAGTTGCCGTACAAAGACTGTCCAAGGAGGGCACCCATACAGACAGACAAGCCAAAATCATTCGGAACTGAGATGAGTTCTCATAATGCGCTGAGTCCCCAGCAGAGGCTCACTGGTCCCTCTGAGCTTTGCCGCCCAGGAGAGGCACATCAGAAAAGGCCAGGCCCCAAGCTTCATTGCCTCGCAAAGGCCAGTGTCACATAGACTTGACTTCTTTGATTTCCTTCGCAAGTAACTGGGGTCGCAGCTGCGGATGCCATATCAACTTAAGGCTCCATGGCGCGCACTCTCGGAATTTGATGAAGTCTCCCCTTGCAACGAGTTGACTTTGGCTTTCCATGCTTATATACATACATATATATGTACATGCGTATTATATATATATATATGTGTATGTAACGCACGCTTGCAGTTCTGATGCAATGCCCCTGAATGCCCCCCGAAATCTGGCGATACCAGCGCTGGGTAGAAGAACCTGCCGGGGCCGCGCTGCCTTTAAGCCAAAAGGCTGCCATGACATGTGTCATGATGGTGCATTCCGAATAGGCTCCAGCTCGATACGCCCGGGCGTCTGAAATGAAATCCGCTCGATAGCAGGGCGCATATGTTCCACTGGCTCCCAACGACAAAATATTACCAATGCTTTACTGTTTCAACATCTTTTAGCTACAGTGGAGCAACAGTCGGGTTCCCTCTCTGCACCGCAAGGCTACCAGAATAGGACTTGGATGGACTTCGGTCTTACCCACTTGCTGCTGGAATCAGGCCAGTGCGATGTTCAAGTCTTGGGCCCGGCTTTGGGATTACGTTCTTGCTGTTCGCGTTGATGGCCTCCTGGAGTTGAGATAAGGGTATAATGGAGAATCGGAAAAGAAAATGGAACATGACATGAAAACTGGGATCATCGAGACCCCAAAGCATAGTCCACACTCGGCCTGGCCAGCCTTTTTCCAAGCTGCGGCCAGGTTGCCAATCGGCCTAGTCAGTCTGTCGTCTCTCCTCTACCCAAAACTATTTGGACTTGGCAGCTTCGTGACCCTCTGCCAAGTCCCTCATCACCTTCCTGGGGTACTGCCGAGACCCTCTCCTAAAGCGGCTCTGTACATAAATGCCCTGGAGCGTTTTTTCCTCTTGAAAGACAAGGCCGCAAATCTGCTGGTCCTGAGGTGCGACAATCTTGTGCTGTCGGGGCTCTTTCCCTGGACCTCCCCAGCCGCTGATTTCAAATATGCTGCCCTTGTCCGTCTTGAAAATGAATTTCTGGGCAAGGTAGTTATGTGTCTCTACATGCGTCACTTCCACAATGGCCTCGTCCACATCCAAGCGAAAGGTCTCAAAGTCCACCCCTCCCAGGATTGGGGCAGGGGAAGCGTTTAAACGGTTTTAACCAAAAGTGCTTCAACACAAAAATGTTTAAACATTTGTCACCTGTGGCCCCAACATGTTTAAGCAGTTCAAACCCCAAATGCTTAAACACAAAAATGTTCAAACATATGCCACCGGTAACCCTAACATGTTAAAACGATTGAAACCCACGTGTTTAAACATTTGGGCGGCAGATATTTAAACATTTGTGCATAAACGCCTTGGGTTATTTGGGTATCGGACCAAGTCACAGTCTCTCCTGGTGGGGTTGTACAATTACGAGTTCCCTTGAACATGTTCAGACACATTTGCTTAAACACTCCCTTCCAGGCCTCCAAACAGGCCTGGGCCTCGCACATGACCCCCCTCCCAGCAAGGGTCAAAAGGAACCTTGCAACACGTTTAAACATGTTTAAACCCAATAATTAGGCCTCTCTAGGGCCTCCCACACAAAAGGAACGCTTAAACACCTTTAAACATGTTTACACAAATATGTTTAAACATTTCCCTCCCTGGCCTCCCTCCCGGTAGGCCTCTCTAGGGCCTCCCACATGGGCCGCCCCCCATCGACCTCTCTAGGGCCTCCCACATGGCCCCCTCCAAGCAAGGGTCAAAAGGAACGTTTAGAAGCGTTTAAACATGTTTAGGCCCCGCTCCCAGCAAGGGTCAAAAGAAAAGGAACGTTTAAACACCTTTAAACATGTTTAAACAAATGTGTGTAAACATTTCCCGTCCGGGCCTCCCAATAGGCCTCTAGGGCCTCCCACATGCTCCCCCCCCCCAGCAAGGGATAAAAGGAATTTTTAACCAAGTTCAAACGAGGTCCTCTTAAGGGTCCAAACTCATGGCCTCTTTAAGTGCGTTCCATGCCTTTGAACGTGGAAGAAATGTTCAACAAGTGGCGCCCCAATGTTTAAACATTGAGAACCACATGTTTGAACATGTTCAAACGAAACCCGTCTCCAGAAAGTGTTTGAACATGTTTAAACGTAAACATGGGCCGGACTTGTTTAAACAAAACGTGGTTAAACAATGATCTTCCAAACATGTTTACGCAAAATGTCTTTAAACAAGGGATCTCCCAAACATGTTTAAACGTGTTTATGTTTAAACGGATTAATCTTTAAACGTGTTTCGCCCGACCCTGACGCCTCCGGCGCTTTTTCCATAGACTTGGCGAGTGCCGCTGCAGAGTTGAAATTCCAGCCTGTCTATAAACATCCCCTTTTTGACTGTAATTGTTTCTACACAGCCCCTGGTCGGATCGGCATTGTGCTCCTTGAGGACTTTCTGGGCACGCTCCTGGGCATTGCCTGAGCTGTGGAATCTTAATTCTGCTACAGTATGATTTGTTTAGCTGCAGTACTGCTGCATGGCAAATCTGACTTGCAGTTATTGAAGCAAGTTGTACCGCGATATCGCTAAACAAATTGCTGAACTCCTGATCTTGAGCGCCCACTTGCGATGATGCGCCACGCTTGCTCCGCTTGCTCCGCTTGCTCCGCTTCCCTTTCGAAGCTCGGCGGGGCTGGTGCTGCGAAGACATTGGCTGGGAATGGGCCCCTGAAGCCCTGGCTCTGAGCAAGGTTTCATGAGCGTCCAAAGCATTTCCCAGCTCATCCTGCTCATCTAGCTCCGTCTCCGTTTTCTCGCTCACAACATACAATTTTTTCAGAGCCGGGCATTGGGTTCTCCGACGGAGAACTTCCAGCAGCCTACCAACCGGTTGCTGTCTGTCGATGACCACCCTTGTACGGGTGGCTGCGCCACCAGCGCAGCACTCGATGTTCAGGCGAAGCAATTGCGTGTTCATGGAAACGAGACCTGCGCACCTCGATACTTGACTTGCCAATACTATTGTAAAATAACTTAGCTGCATCTGCCCTGGAACGTCTTCATTTTCAGCTTTGCCCAATGTGTGTGCAAGGCACGCTTCATTTTGGTTGCCAAGTGTCTGGCTTTCCATGCTTTTATATCTATATATATATGTGTGAATATGTGACACACGTTTACAATTCTAACGTGATGCCCCTGAATGCCCCCCAAATCTGGCGATAGAAGTGCTGGATAGAAGAATGTGACCGGGCCGACGCTGCCTGGAAAGCCAAATGGCTGCCATGTCATGGGTCATGAGGGTGCACGCATGTTTACTGCAATTTGCAATCCCAAAGCAACTCTTTCTGAAGGATTCACGATGCATCGCGCTCTGCGCGCGAGATGTCCTGTTACCCTGCTTGACAGCAGACTACGGGACGCGTTCCACTCCCGGCAGGAGGGCCCCCAGCGACGTAATATCCTGTTCCATGTAGGCATGTTTGAGCTAGAATGCCCAGTTGTGAGCCTCAGTGAGGTCTGGAACCAGTCGGCAGATGAACTTAGCCTGTGGCCCCCCACTGTGAAACAATGCATCTGAACCTGAGAAAGGCTCAGACGCTGTCCCTTTAGCTCAGGCATCCTTCTTGCACTCGGAGGCAACGGCCTAAAATTTGACAAAGCTTGATTACTGATGAGTTTTCGCACGGCAGTTGCAGTTGATGACTCACACACACACACACACACACACACTCAGACTACGGCGACTATGACTTGCTTTCAACCCTTGCGCACGTCTTCTAGCACCCAAACCACTTTCCAACTTGTCTCAAGCTACCGAGCTCAACCCTTTTCAAGAAGGTGTTCCTGTAGCGCAGGCAGCTCATCGTCCATATCATCCTCAACTCCATCCTGCCCATGCCCAAACACCACAAACTCTGAGGCATTCTGAAGCTGTACACCATTAGCCCAATCCTGCATCATGAGGGCCTTGCGCAACAGTCAACTCTGGGCAGCTTTGCTTACAGGGTGACTCTCCACAGCATTCGCAGCCAGTCGCCACATGGACTACAATGCTCACAGGGCTCCTCTACTGGCCAGTGGCCCCCACTTCTAGCGGTCGAGGTCGGCTTTTCCTGCAAATTGCTGAGGCCAAGGTGCCATGGGCCTACTGCACCCGAAGCTCAACGTGCAATGGTTCTCTTGGCGGAGTGTGTTCAATTGAACGCTGCGCCCCAAGGCCTCATCACTAGCAGTTGAGCTAGGACAAGAAGGCTCTGAGACATGACCACCCCAGGATCAGTGGCCGAGCCAAAATTGATTCCCTGTCCGTCACCGAACGCAGCCCGCAGTGCTGTGTACTTTCCCAGTGGCCTGGAGGGTTGAGGGGTTTAGCCAAGACTGCCGTCCTGCTTTGTCCAAACCTCACCGCTGGACCACTGTGCAGTCTTCCCATCGCAGGCGATCAGGGAAATCCTCAGGTCTGGCTTGCAGTTCGCTGTAACACCTCCCTGACCAACCGGCCGGACCAAAGCGTGAAATGGTTCGACGGCTGAAACAAGCTTTCACTGCGAAGTTGATTAAAGAAGCCGTGCCGACGGTGCTCACCTACTAGCACTTATTGTCACATCGAACCCTCTAGACTCCAGATTCCGCTCTAATAAAGAGGCTCTCACTGCTTGAGGCATGACCAGGTCAACGGATCAGGCCGTGGGTACATGCCCCTGCTGGACTTACTGACTGCAATATGCTAGGCCCCTGGCCCCAGCAGCCGGACAGCACCTTTCTCATGTCTCAGCCTCGAACGAGGACCCAACGCGTTGGATCTCTCCATTTTCAGTCGCTTCTCTGCATTCTTCCTAGAATCAGTTGCAAGGATCCTGGGCCATTGGAATACGTTGCGTTTCTCGAAGCTTGAGGTGGAAAACGTTTCCTTGAAAATCCAGGAGCGAACGGCAAACTTGATAATCCCAACTGTTTACTTTGGCCACGCAGCACAAAGGGCATGTGCGAGACGGTAGTGCGGGCAACGAGGCCCTTGACCACCTCAGCTGGCACCCGTCAAGCGAGAAGGTTCCAAAGCCATGGAGGCCCAATGCGTTGCTCCAAAAGCACCTTCAAGCCGTTTTTCACCTTCCATCGAGCAAGACTGTGCTGCAATCGTCTAGCTGTTTGCCAAGGGTGCGATAAGGCGAGTAAACGTTTGATAAGCGGAGTGCGTCTCAAATGTGGGTTCCGTGTTGGGCTTCCCCTATACGAATTTCTTTTGCGAGGTGGGTTATTATCGTTCTTGACATGCTTGATTGTTTTGAGGTAATTGAGTTCCTGACCCACGTTTTTGAGACATAATTAGCGAGACGCCACCTTACAGTCTCAACCAGCGTTTAGCGCTGCGACTGCAGGGGGCCAAGTCGAACGCAGGCATCTGTGGAGAGGCTGTCGTCCAAAACGTTAAGGCTCCATCCGACTCTATCCTTTTAGTAAAGGTAGATGAATACGCACGCCTGCGCCACAAAAAACCAAGGGTGTGACGGGAAGCACGGCGGATCGCCACCTTCCTGTCCTGTGCCCCTTCGTGGATCCCGAAAGGGATCTGTCCTCCTGAGCTCTCTTGAGTCCTTCAATGCCTTGGGCTCAATTTGCTAGCCGCTTGCTCCGGGACAACTTCTGGTTGACTGCAAGGAGCTCCTCAGGATGGCAGAAGGCTTTCAAAAATGGTCTGAACTGAATTTCAAATGGGAGCGGTTGCCTCACCCCAGCTGGCTCAGCCCAGCTTTAGGGTCTTGCCAAACTGCTGGCGCTGCTTCGCACAGCAGCTCGAGCAGAACGTTTGAAACAGCTCAACATGCTTCCTCTTGACATCCTCTTGACACTCAGTCTTGCTTTCTATCTGTGGTAGAACTTAGGTGAAGCCCCCATTCACCCCGAGAGCTTCTTGAAATCTGAAACTGCAACCGCACATGGCCCTTCACAGGGGCCGATGGGTCAGCAACCCCATCTGCTAATGCTTACCACAATCTACCTGAAGTAGAGGCCGTGCGCCTGGGATGCTGACCCGCTCTGAGTAAGTAGGTTAAATGCCGGGAGCATTCTCAGTGACTGACTGACTTCGCTTCGGGCCCTGGCGCTCTCCGCACATTGGCACACTACAACGCTAAGCTTGCTTGGCCTAACCATTCACGCTCTTCCAGGAAACTCTCTTTGCCAGGGCCCTCTGACCGGCGGAACGCCAAACAAATGCAGCAAGTGAGCGTGCTCTCTTTTCCCTCTACTAAGAATGACCACCGTTAAGAAGGGCTTGCTAAGCGAGACCTTTCCCTATCAGAAGTGGCATTGAGACAGCACGCCTGGGGAGGGCCCCACAAAGCCCCAGTAGCTTCTCTGTTCACGTATGCACAACGGGGCTGAGGCCCAACCTCTTGGCTGCAAGAAAGATGAATTCGACCTGCTAGAAGGGCGAAGCGCACCCTCTAGCAGCAAAGCACATGTACCACAAGTCCTTCCAAAGGCGCGCAGGCACAGGATCAGAATGACGGCTGTACCCAAGGTTCGCAGGTTGTCTAGCAAAACTTACTTGTTGACATCCTTAAGCCGTCGTGCACGTGGCGCTTTGATCGCGCCTGCCAAAGGCTTACATTCGGAAGCCTTATCTGCAACGTGCTGCATGGCACGCATTCGGGGCAAAGCGGGGCGACGTACGACCCCAGCTTCAAACAGCACAATAAGGACAGAACGACTTCTATTGTTGTTATGGAAGCGCATGCTGCATGATCCCGCTGGTGTACTTGGCTATAAGAAGCTTACTAAAATCAAGATTTCATCACTGCATCAACTCGAAGCAAAAAAACGCTGCGCCTCCTCATGGAAGCAAAGGCAGCCAACAGGCTTGAAAAGAGTTTCAAACGAGGCCCATGCCATTCTCTCCTTCTAAGTCTGCTACAAGTAGCTCTGCAACACCAACACCACCTTTGCAAAATGTGAGATATGATGAAACGTATCTTGTTGTGTTATGTTATGTTATGTTATGTTATGTTATGTTGACATGTTGACAACCAGGCCCTGGGAATGGCCATTTCAAGCCAAGCCCTTCCGTAGTGCGTGCCGGACCTGAGCAATTCAAACTGCCTTGCTCCCACAATCCCCCACACCTCACATGGTTGCTTCTTGGTCCTGTGGCTTCTCGAGACCCTTTCAATGCGTCCTTTTTGCAAACTTGCAGAGACGAGCGGCAGTGGGAGGAGATCTGGAAGAAAAGGAGTCTCCACCTCTCCTGCGCGTCTGTGTATCCACCACTCGGCCATGTGCTTCAAGATGCTTCAAGCCTTAGGGGCTTGTTCGTGGTTGTTTTATCAAGTTGGAATATAATTGGAACCTGTGAGGCTATGGGATTTTGCCTAAGCGGACCCTTT